TATATTAAAATAATATTTTTTTATTTTTTAAAAATTATTTTTGATATTAACATATTAAAAAATATAATAAATAAAAAATTTTTAAATTTTTTAAAAATATTTTTAAAATATAAAAATAAATAAGATTTAAATTAATTGAAATATTTAAACTATTCAGCAATAAATTATGATATTGTAATGTGAATAAATATGTACTATGTTATTTGAATTAAATTGACTATGAAGCACAAAAACTTATTATAATAGCTTTAATAGCTAGATTAATATAAAAAAGATAAATACTATTTTAAATTTTATATAATTTTATATTTGTATTTATTTCTATTTAAAAGTTACATAAAAATTAATTAATTTATATATATTTGACACCATTGAATAATATGTAATAAGATAAAATCTTCATTACTATCCAATCTACAATTTTTTATATATAATTATGTACATATAATGACAAAAAAACAAATACAAGTTTTCTTTACATAAAAATTGCAATATTGCTTCTAATTAAATTTACTTAGGATGAAACTTGTGATTAGACAATAACTATTTCTATAAAAAAAAGTGCAGATTTTATATCTTGAATCCTAAAACAAAAATTTACTTTCTCCAAAAAGCACCAACTCAAAAGAAGCACATGAGTTTTTGAAAGAGTAGATTTCAAGAATCTTAAAGTGAAGGAAATGAAAAAAGAAATAAACAAAGTAATAAATAAATAAAATGAATAAAAACCCCATAAGAGAAAAGAAAAATAAATTGCAGGAACTTGAATATATAAGGCTAACCATCATTCACAATGCTCATGGCCTTTTTAATTATGTAAAATTTGAATCATATTTAAACATATAATCCCAATCCTAGATAGATGTTGATATAAAGTAAGGAGATTTTATTTAATTTTAATACAAGCTAAACTCTTTTTTTATTGATGCTACATGAAATCCTGGGCTAATCTTATAAATTTTTTAAAATTAATTATTTTATTAAGGGCTCTTGTTTTAAATAGAAGTAAGCCTTTTGGTTCCATTTAAAATCTATTATTCAATCGGTTTTTCTTAGTCAATTATGACTCTTAATCGTTTGATCAAATGCTTCCTCAAATCTTTTAGTTAATTGAGACTTTTTCAATAAAATCAATATACTATACTCAATTGATTTTAACTCTTTTTTTTAGTTTGTTAGTTTGTTAGAACAATAATTGTTCTCATATATTTAACGCATGAGTATTTATTTGTGTAAAAAATACCTCTTATATTTTTTTTATTTAATCATATTTATAATTGAGATCGATCAATCAACTGACCAAAAAGGATGTAGCAAGGGATATTATTTAAACAAAATTAGTAACTATGTTTTAAAATATATTTGACATGACAATTGTTGAGATGTGCTTTGGATTTTCTTGAATAAATTTCTATATTGTGTCCTTTTTAACTATTTGTACTCAATAAACAACTCAAATTTTGATGTTATTGAGAATCAACAACAATAAAAAAAAACTTTATAAATTAGTAATAGTCTAACTATTAGGGTTAATGTATAAGCAATATAGATCTAGAGAGCTTTCCATTTGTGATCTCCAATCCCTTGGTTTCCATAGAAATCTAGAGAATGTTTTGAAAGATCTTGAAACTGTTTGTAAAGGGTCTACAAACAATCTTTGAACTCTTGTCTTTAATATATTTATAAATAAGAACATTTTTTTGTAATATAAATCCTCTATTTATACTGAGTAAAAACATTCAACAATAGTTTTATCTTCACTATTTTATGTATTTTTAACCATTTTAACCATAGAGTCTATTTCTTTTCTCACCATTACACCTCTATTATATATCATCTATTACTTATCGATATCATCTATTACTTATTGATTGATAATCCTTGTAAGGACGATGTTACAATGATTAAAGGCCATTTTATATTCCAACCTATTCTGAGCCAAAACATTCATTTTTGTATTATTTCTACTCATTAAAACACAAGAATTAAATTGGAAAATCTTTTTATTAAGGTTTAAGGCCATTGCATAGTTGATATTTAGCTTACTTCTACATGTAGCTAATTCCTTTTTTTTTTTTTAATATTATGGTTGGTCACCTTGTATGACAAGTAGGACACTTGTATACTCCACAAAGATGTTTTTCATAATTTTTTTGTGCCCATAATTTAGCCTTATCATGATTGATACACCTTTTATATATAACATTACTAGTGACCAAAGCCTTTGGTATGGTCAAGGCCTAATCTATTGTGTTTTTCTTTTACTAATAAATGTTTTTTATTCAAGTGTAGCTACCATATTTGTCATCTTAGAACAAGAGCTTGAGTGTCTTTTATTTTCATAAATAAATTTAAATCCATGATCGATATCAATTGATGTTGATCTTTTTTGAAATTTTTATCAAATTATGAATCACCCACTGTGACCTCATTTAATTAACCAAATAAGTATATTCTCTTTGTTGGTGAAATATAAATCCATGGAATATAAAAGGGTTGAGATTTCTTTGCTAGAAAGTAATTTATAGGGCATTGATCTTTCCAATTACAAGTTGAGACAGTCATCAATAAGGTGGTTGGTTCATGTAATTGGTCTAAGACTATCTATACATTTATGAAATAAGCGGTACCTCATGAGTGATTATGCCCATGTTATATTATACTTGCGATAATATCTCTTATGTGGGTATGTGATATTTGGGGTGAGATTGAGTACTTCTAAACATTTATATTGAAGCTCTTGTTATTTTAGAAAATCTTAGGAATTACTTTAGATATGTATAAGCCCATGGATTACAGATTTATTTTGACATAACTCATTTTGTATTAGAGTTAATTGATCAGACTTCGCTTGCACAATTCAATTTTTTGCTATAATCATTATGATATTATTGTGGCAAGTTGTATTTAATGTGTTTTTCATCTCCATCAGAGAACCTTCAGATCAATGTTAGAAAATTTTAACTTATATTATGATACTCATATAGGAGCCACAAATACTGGAATTTGCCACAACTAATTGTGACCATTACATGATGTCATGTGATCCATAGAAAAGATGGCATTTGGTTATGTATGAAGCACCAATACACTTGTCATAATTTATTTTTGGTCATTCCCTAAATTTTATCTTTTTTTCTTCCCCGTAAAAAAATAAAAAATAAATAACAATAGCAAGAAAATTGATATTTTGGCAAAAGTAGGTTGAAAAGGATTCCAAATAAACAGAAATAATTTTAATACAAGCTAAACTCTTTTTTTTATTGATGCTACATGAATCCTGGGCTAATCTTACAAATTTTTTAAAATTAATTATTCTATTAAGGGCTCTTGTTTTAAATAGAAGTAAGCAAAACAGGTTAAGAAAATCTTCATCCATGCCATTTAGTGTAACACTAACAATATAACTGTTTTTAAATTAAATTGATTGGCTAAAGCATTTGTCATGTCAAATATTTTTTAAAACATAATTGATTAATTTTAGAATAACAATGTTCTTTGTCACATTATGCTTGGTTGATTTAACTGACCAATTTCAGTACTAGTTTGATGGGTTTAAGATTTCTTCATTGAAGAAACAAAGAATAATGGGGACATTACTTACATTTAAAATAAATATATATATGTTAAATGTGAAGAACATTGGTTGTTTACCGCAAAATAAAGAAATAAAGCTGAAATTAATTATGAGTCAGAAGAAGCAATTGAGTTGGAATAATCCTTGATTGACTAAGAGTACTTAAGAACTAATTAAGCATTTGACCAAGCAATTAAAAGTCACAATCATCAAAAAAAAAAAAAGATTTGATTGACCAATAGAGTTTAATGCACCCATAATAAAAAAGATACAATTCTATTTAAAAAATAAAAGAGTAAAATTACAAGAAAATCAAAAGTTTGGGATCAATTAAAAGTTAAATTGAAGAGATTTATAGTCAATGATCATTTTACAAAAGATGTCAAACTATAAAGATTTAATTGATTGAAATCAGAAGTGAAATTGAAGAAAATTAAAAATTTAATAGTCAATTTATATAAATTCAAAATCAAGAATTATTATAAAAAAAATTGAAATTTAAGATTGATATTAAAGTTCAACAAGGACAAAATTACACAAAATAATTGTCTTTTGCTTCTTATGGCATTTTTCGCTCATAAAACAGGTTAAGAAAATCTTCATCCATGCCATTTAGTGTAACACTAACAATATAACTGTTTTTAAATTAAATTGATTGGCTAAAGCATTTGTCATGTCAAATATTTTTTAAAACATAATTGATTAATTTTAGAATAACAATGTTCTTTGTCACATTATGCTTGGTTGATTTAACTGACCAATTTCAGTACTAGTTTGATGGGTTTAAGATTTCTTCATTGAAGAAACAAAGAATAATGGGGACATTACTTACATTTAAAATAAATATATATATGTTAAATGTGAAGAACATTGGTTGTTTACCGCAAAATAAAGAAATAAAGCTGAAATTAATTATGAGTCAGAAGAAGCAATTGAGTTGGAATAATCCTTGATTGACTAAGAGTACTTAAGAACTAATTAAGCATTTGACCAAGCAATTAAAAGTCACAATCATCAAAAAAAAAAAAAGATTTGATTGACCAATAGAGTTTAATGCACCCATAATCAAAAAGATACAATTCTATTTAAAAAATAAATGCTCAGTAGAAAAAAAAAAAGAAAAAAAAGAAGAAGAAGTAAGAGATTAGATTAGTACTCTCTTGTGTATGGATAAAGAGATAAAAAAAAAAGAAAAAAAAGAAGAAGAAGTAAGAGATTAGATTAGTACTCTCTTGTGTATGGATAAAGAGATACTTAGTTTGTATTAGAATTTAATAAATTTTTTTATTTGACACCAATACATGCAAAAAATATGTAAGGAGGACCCAAATATCATTATAAACTACGATCAATCCCACATATTCGATTTTCTACGAAAGTTTCTCCATATGATTATTATTGCTTTCTCTTACTGCTTTCCTCTATTCTTTTTGTTATTTTCCCACACTTTAATTCCTGAAATCTTCTCTACTTTGAGCGTGTTTTCTTTACAAGGCGATGTTTCAAGAACAAGTTATTCTTACTGAGAGTTTGAGCTCTAAAATCCTTGTTTTGTTTGATTAGAGGTAGTGCGGCTGAACCAATCTTCAACCAACCTTTTCATGTTCCGCTTTACTGGAATTGAACTCAACAGTGTGGCTTTCACGCAGAAGCAGGTTGGCTAATGAGAACTACTTGGATTGCTAACTTTCTTGTACCTCAACGCGGTAGCTTTAGCTTTTAAAGCAAATCGTGTAAACTAAGCGTTTGGTAATTTAAGAAAAGTATTTTTTTATTTAGTGGGTTTCATAATTTTTTCTATCAAACCGGAGTTTTGCAAAATCAGCTAAGAGCTGCTTCTCTCCATTGGCTTTTTTTTTTTTACCTTGACACTATTCATAATAGTATCCATGTTAGGTGATGTTAAATGAATTAATTCAACTTGGCTCTGTTCACCCAAAGAAGTGAAGAGTGCCCGAGTGAATTATAATTCACCTGCAATGCAATAAGCATTCACTTGGCACTGTTCACGTAAACAGTGTTAGGTGAATTTTTTTGCATTAGCAAAATTCATTGCACTGTGTCTGACCCCGATAAAAAAATTTTAATTTTTTTAAAATTATATTTAACTCAAAAAATTAATATTTAATATTATTTAATAACATAATATAAA